GAACACTGGAGCAGGAGGCCAGACATGCTCAGCGCTGTGGGCCACTACACAGACATGAGGAACACACACTGTACAGACACAAGTTCCTGTCAAGTTCATCTACACCAGATGTTTACATAAGCTGTGTACAACAAATGATCTTTTCTTAGATTAAATCAGACTAAAGGTTTCCGGTTTTATCTTTATTTGCTTTATCAAATTAATTTAGACATAAGATAGATTTTTGTATTTATTTTATTTCTGTAAAGAGTATACACTAATGCCTCTTTTGCACAGACTCCATCTGACCTGGATCTACTCCATCCCACCAATTTTAAAATGTTTTTATAACTCAGTCTGTGATTTTGCCTACTTCTGAACAGATCCAAATAAAGCAAGTAACAGTACTGAAAAAGCAGCAGAGGAAACATTTGCAAATTGGTGGGGTGGAGTAGAGACAGGCCAAGTGGAGGCAGTGGAAAGGGAGCATTAGGATGACTTTCAACAGTTGGGGAAAACATAGACAGTCATATTAAAGTTTCCTATCTGGCTAACTTAAAAAAAATGGGATTTAAGTTTAAATCAACAGTCCGATATGTATACTATACCTTTTTTGTGAGGTTTTTGGCCGACCTGACCGTGATCCTGTCTTTCCAGTCATGAGTCATGACCATGAAAAAACTGAAGAAAACCCTCCCATCAGTACAGTTGGATGTAGAAAAATTATGTGTAGGAGATTTGCAGATAACTTTAAGAGAAAAGAACACTATAGGAAAATATTCAGAGGTAGGTAGGAACTAGTTACAGTTATACAGTTAGATTAACTTGAGTAAATTTTTGAAAACTATTTCTATTTTTAGGAGTATTTGTACTACACAATACCTTTTACTTTCACGTGAATAACATTTTTGTCAGTTAAGAGGAGATATTGCCGCTGGATGTTCTTTATCCTTTTCTAAAATATATGTATTACAGACTTAATGTAAAGATTTATATCTATAGGTTTATGTTTTTAATTTTTTTCTACTTGTTATTTAGTAATAATGTTACATATTAGTATTTATTTTTTATATATACTCTGAAATAGCAGTCTCAAACTATGTCTGAGACAGAGATATCAGTTTAAACATTACATAAGTTTTTATGAGCCAACAAATAGATAGTTCAGAGGCAATTGCTGAAAAATGTGTGCATGACCTAGACTGCCTACAGACAGGATTTGTGAGACCCAGATAACTGCAAACTTTTTTTAAATAAGTTCTAATGCTGTCTGTGACTGAAGGGGATCCAGGGGCAGTGACCCATAATGCTTCTGTGACTTTCAAGAGCTGATACTTTAAAGGTACACTATGCAACCGGTGTTGATTTTCCAGCGAGGCTCCCCCCAGAGGGCGAAAGTAAAAGTGCACTGTCGTAAATATGCACAGCTGTTCTCCTGGTTTCTCCGTCAAGCCAGGCGCGGTTGTTTTGAGCTTTGCAGACAGGCGAACGCAACGAATGACTAACTGCACAAAGAATGCCGCTGTGCTAGCAACGAGCATGCTTTTAACGGGGGGCGTGTAGCAGTTCTCGCCGTAAAGCAAGACCGACTCTCGCGAGACTTCTGAGCCTGTGGGTGCGGGCCGAGGGCTCCTGCAATTGCAAGTGCGGTATTTCCCCCACAGACCACCAGGGCGGCCGAGAATACCTTTGTTCAACCTGAAATGACTCATTTAATCATCCAAAACGTTATGGAACACATTAATTAACTGAAAAATGTTGCATAGTGTGCCTTTAAAGGGTAAATAAGACTCACTTAATGTTCATGATAGATCCCATTGTAGAAAATTGTTCTTTACATTACAATTTTTTAATCTAGTGCCACCACTGATATTTTATCCTGACCTTCATATAGAGCATTGGTAGAATATACATAATACGACAGTCAGATGATGACATTGTAGAGGAAAATGAAAACTAACAAAAAGGGCAGATAGTCTCCACACAATGGAAATTGGAGAAGCACTGTTGGGCATCAGAAGCGCACCATGGTGAGAGCAGGATGTCATGAAATATGTAGGAAGGAGCAGCTTAGCACCGGAACACAAAGCCATTAAAGAAAGCCCAGTAAAACGCAGTCAGCTAGAAACATAAAGGTCTATTTCCTGATAATTCAGACATATGCACACAACATCAGGTAAAAGCCCCAAACACCCATTTCACAGCGGTGCACTCTTGCTTTTAAACATCTTGTGGAGAAAATACACTCTTTAATATTTTCTCCTGTATAAACACTTTTGAATATGTTTTGTTGTTTTGTTTAACACTCAAAGAAGCAAGCATGCAAGTGTTATGTCCACGTGAGCACTAAAGAACAAGGGTAGCACACATAGACATGCTCTGTTTCACACTCTACTTCTTCCTTTTCTCTTTGTGCATAAAATGATCTCTTTTAAATCATTGATTGAATCCATGCAAAGTATCAGCAAGATACTTGGCTACAGCGAGAGGCTGTTTAGTCATTCGGCTTTACACAACAAGGCTTAGGCGGGCGAATGGTCCTGAGACAAAGTGATGCACTTACAGAAATAGTGTGACAGTTACTGATAGTCAGCTATTCTCAGCAGAGATGGAGGGGAGAACATTTTACAGTTTGTCAATATTTTTTTATATCAATAGATGCATCAATCAATCAGCCAAAAATTTTATTTTTTCCCCTTTATCAGCTATGATGATGAGCAGGTCAAACACTGGGTTACTTTCTCCTGCATTCAGATGCTTTAAAACACATCCTCTCAATTCCAGTGTAAGTAATCAAAATAGCAGATATCTTTTGACAAAGGTTAGAGTGTATTCTTTAACTGATAAATTAGGGAAATCTAAGTCATTCATTGTCTGTTGGATTTATAAAGTCAACTCAATTTTAAAAAATCTTATGATAAATGTTCCCCTTTATTGTTACACTCTTTAAAGAATAATGTGTTTTTCAAAAAAAAAAAGGAATCAGCAGAATATACCCAAACTCCAAACTGGTATCAGAAAAAAAGGAAGAAAATGAAACCTGGACCTGTGCATCAGAATTAGGATAATTATTTTTCTTTTTTTTTATAAAATTTATATTTTACTTTTGCACAGCGCAACAAAGTTCCAGCTAAATGAAATGTCCTCTTATTTTCCAGACCACTCTGTCTGTCTCTTGTATGTAAAAGTTATCGCAGTTTAGAGGTTGAAGACACTGCAGACATTTTATTTCAGTCTAGTTTATCTGTTTAAAACATCCAACTGTATGACTGTCCAAAATGAAAGCTCTAACATGACACTGCCACCACCATGGATGAAAGTTAGCACAGAGGCATGGATGCTTTATTTCTGTACTACTGACTGTCTTCTCTCATTTGATCTAATTGTTTTTCTACAGGTGGCATCAGAGTTCAAAGTTCCTGGGGGCCCCATAAAACTCCTTTTACATGTATGATTAATACAACTATTCCTTATTTGTGCAAATAATTATGTTTTTGATCAAAATTATTTTGCTAAAATGCCATCAGAATGCTTATAATATTAAGTGTGTCTCAGCCCCCCCTTTAGTGTCCACCACATTGGATCAGTCCATTTGCTGCACATGTACAGAAAGGTCAGCAGCAAACCATTTGAAAGCAAACGATGCAAAGAGCAGTGTTGCCAACTTAGCGCTTTTGTCGCTATATTTAGCGACTTTCAGACCCCTGTAGTACTTTTATTTCAAAAAAGTGCCTAGCGCCACATCTAGGGACTTTTTTCTGCTAGTAAAGATTTCTGCTACTGGGGACTTTGGCACTGAACTCTGGTCTCCAGAGCAAGTAAAAAGTAGGAAAAAAAAATCAATTGTTCTACTATTTCTTGACAAATGTCCAGTTCCAATTAGGTTAGAAGATTGTTAATAAACAGTGTTTTTTAAAGATTTTTTAAAATTTATCTTAATAAATAAAATAAAGAAGAAAAACATTTATTTGAATATGAGTGGTTGATATATGTATTCATATTTTTGTTTTTGCATATATAATTCTAATGCCTCTCTGGTGAAGGAAACTGAAGAAAATCTCCTACTTTTGCAGCCAACACTTGTTTTTTTGAAAAAACTATATAAATTCTATTTTGTATAATAAGCTAAACTTGAAAAAGAGTTGCTCATTTTATTTATTTACAGCTGCAAGTTAACATGATATTTCTGAGTCATTGTAATACTGTGACCATTACCCTCCAAAAACCACACATATGATCAAAACACCAATGTTTTCTTTTAAGGTCAAAAGATGCATTACAAGAGGCAAAACCTAAAACTAAAACACCATCAATGGCAACACCTAATCCAACTAAAAACCTTTAAACTGATTATAATATTACAGCACTGAAATGAACTGCCAAATCAGCAGAAGTAGAAGGTATAGGAGCAGACATTAAAAGGAAACAAATTGGACATTTTTGGACATGTGTGCGCCTGCTGAGATTTATATATCTGTAAGACAAATATTAGGCATAAATAAATTAGAATAAAATAATATCAAATTTGAATGAGAAAATCCATTTAGATATGGGCGTCTCAATCATTTTCTTAGTTTTATTAATAACATGTCTCTTGGGGCATCAACCTGCAGCAAAATCATAGAAATAAACAGAATCTTCATTTAATACAACTTTCTCTGGATGTTTACAATCAATAACAAATGATTACTTTCATAACCACCACGCCCAGTCTCAGCTTCATCATTTTTTCCTTTAATATGAAGCAAAGTTCATCCTAACTTCTCTCCATACAACTCACATTTATATTGCTCCTCAGAAATCCGTGTCTCTCTCTGTCACTGTATGGAGCAAAGCAAAGCATCCTACAGGAAATTATAACAGGAAATGATAGCAGGGAAGGATGCGCACAAAACGATGTTTGTCCAAGCAAACCTCGTGACACGGTGGGAATAATAATCCCCGTAATGCCACAGTTTACCTTCTTTGTTTGTGTTCAAAGATCAAATAAAAAAAGCCACATCCACGAGGCTTTCCTCTACCTGAATGGTGCACGAGATCTCAGAGTCATCCAGTAACCTGATCGTGCAGAGGAGCTCCTGGTCCAAGGAGCGGATGCTGGGGCTGCGAAACCGGAGCATTTTCATCCTTGAGTCGGCGTCGGTCTCAGCTCCTCATGTCAGTGGCCCCGAGCGCGAAACAGACGCAAAGATAAAAAATAGATGAATAAAAATGCATCGAAGAGGGGGGGTCGCGTTTACGCAAGGCATAACATGTGTCCGTCGGGTCTCGTCAACCTTTGAACCGCCCTTGGAGGTGAATGGATGAATGAATGAATGAATGAATGAGTGGAGGTGAACGGATCAGATAATGGATGGATGCGACAGAGCAGGAGGAAAGAGGTGTTGGATCTATCTGCTGTAGATGGAGCCCGCTGATTGATCTTCAGCAGGGATGATGATCCCCCCCTCCTCCCCTTTCTCTCTCTCTCTCTCTCTCTCTCTCTCTCTCTCTTACTCTCTCTCTCTCAGTCTGGTTCAACTCAGCTTCCAATGTGTTCATTACATTTCAAATTTCTTTAATATATTTATTAGTGCTTCATATA